CGCTTGCAAGAGACCATGCGGCGGCGATTGTTCGTCAGGATCAGATCGATCCCGCCAAGCCTCGCTTCGAAGGCAAGATGGATCTCACGCGCGCGGCGAATCTGCTCGAACATCCTCTCGGGTTGTGCCGGGGGAAGCTCACTCAACGTCAGCTTTCCTTGCACATGCGGCTTGATCAGATCCTCGAACTCTCGCGCGCTCTCTTTGGCCCATTCCCAGAGCGTTTGCTGTTGCGGGTTCACGCGACTGGCCTCTCATCCTGAAGACGACTACTCGGTCCACCTTGACCGTCGACACCACACATGGCGCGTCTGCCCCTTGCACACAAGGGGCAGACGCCATTGATGTGATGGTGGAGTTTAACCCCTCCATGGCGACTCTACAACAGGCCTCGCGCGGGCATTCTTCCCGCTCGAGCTGGAGTTTTACTCAGCGCAAGTTCTCCAACTCGCTCATCGAACTCTCGAGCGCGCTCTTCTCTTGCTCGAATCCGGCGAGCTTGTCGCGCTCTTTTTGAACGATGTGATCAGGCGCGCGCTCGACGAACTTGGGATTGCCAAGCTTCTTGTTCACGAACGCCATATCATCCTCGACGCGCGAGATCTCCTTGCGCAATCGCGTGAGCTCCTCCTCGACATCGATCAGGCCCTTGAGCATGAAGCGGATCTCGACGCCGCCAGCAACCGCCGTCGCCGCCGCGCCTTCGAGCGCGTCGGCCTCGGCGGCCGTCAACAACTCGATGGCGTCGATCTTTGCCTGGTGCCCGATGTAATCGCGCGTCGCCTCGACGGATGCCCTCAAGCCCTCATCATCACTGATAAGATACGCCGTCGGGATGCGGACGCTCGGCTTGATGTTGGTCTCGCCGCGGACCGTCCTCACCGATGAGATGATCTCGAAGGCGAGCTCCATGGCGCCCTTCTCCCGCTCGAACTCGCCGAGCAACGGCTGCGGCTCGGGCCATGGCGCGACCACCAGGGCCTCGGGCGCTTCACCCGTGCGCGCGAACGATTGCCAGATGTCCTCGGTGATAAACGGCGAGATCGGGTGCAACAGGCGAAGTGAAACGTCGCGGACGTAGTCCAGCGTCGCCAACGTGGCGCGACGGTACGGCGCGTTCTCTTCGGACTCGTCGTAGAGACGAGGCTTGATGAGCTCGATGTACCAGTCACACAGCTCGTGCCAGACGAAGTGGTAGAGCGCCTGCGCCGCGTCGTTGAACTTGTACTCGTCGAGCGCCGCGGTGACCTCGCGAGAGGTCGCGTTGACGCGACCGAGGATCCACCGATCCGCCAACCCCAAACACTCGAAGTCAAACGGAGCCTGATCCTTCTCGTCCCAGGTCGCCATGTACGTCGAGTAATCGGAGGGCTCGAAGCCCTCCATGTTCATCATCGCGAAGCGCGAGGCGTTCCAGAGCTTGTTCAAGAAGGCGCGGTAGCCCTCCATGCGCGAGATATCGAGCTTGATGTCACGCGCCTGCGCGGCCATGATCGCGAGCGTCAGGCGCAAGGCATCCGCGCCCTGAGAAGTGATCCCTGGCAGCTCGACGTCACCACGCGAGTAGCTGAGATCCTCGGCCTCGATCTTTGCGATGAGCTCCTTGTGCATGTCCGCGTCGAGCTCCTCGACGCCAGGCGTCCCGGCGCTCGCGCCGGGCAAGGATGCGCCAAAGATCATGTGCAACGGATCGATGACGTTGCCCTTGACCTTGCTCATCTTGTCCCCCTTCGCGTCGCGAACCATCGCGTGCAGGAAGACATCCTCGAAAGGAACCTCACCCATGGCGTAGATCCCCATCATCATCATGCGCGCGACCCAGAAGAAGAGGATATCCGACCCCGTCTCCAGGACCTGCGTCGGGTAGAACTTCTCGAGCGTGGCGGTCTTCTCTGGCCACCCCATCGTCGAGAATGGCCACAGACCACTCGAGAACCAGGTGTCGAGGACGTCCTGATCCTGCTCGAGCTCGACGGCCTCGCCATAATGCGCGTTGGCCTTCTCCTGCGCCTCTTCCTCGGTCATGGCGACAAAGACCTCGCCATCGGGACCATACCAGGCAGGGATCTGGTGCCCCCACCAGAGCTGGCGGCTGATGCACCACTCCTGGATGTTGTACATGAAGTGATCGTAGGTCTTCTTCCAGACCTCGGGGATGATCCTTGTCTTCCCTTGCTCGACAGCATCCCTGGCGGGCTTTGCCAGGGGTTCACCGCGGACAAACCACTGCTTCATGACGAGCGGCTCGACGATGACGCCGCTACGCTCGGACCTTCCAGGGTGGAAGGTGATGTTGTCGATCTTGTCGAGCAACCCGAGCTCGTCGAACTTCTCGATGACGAGCTTTCGCGCCGCGTAGCGATCCAGCCCGGCGAAATCCTCGGGGCAGGTCTCGGGGATCATCGTCGCGTCCAGGCCGATGACCTGAATGAGATCGAGATCGTGGCGCTGGCCGCAATCGAAGTCATTCGGGTCGTGCGCGGGCGTGACCTTGACCGCACCGGTCCCTTTCTCGGGATCGGGGAGGATCTTGTCGGCGATGATCGGGATCTGGCGATCGGTCAACGGCAACGCGATCATCTTGCCGATAAGATCCTTGTAGCGATCATCATCGGGGTGAACCGCGACGGCCGTATCTCCGAGCATCGTCTCGGGACGCGTGGTACCGACGATGATATGCCCGGAGCCATCGGCGAGCGGGTACTTCAGGTACCAGAACTTCCCGGCCTCGCCCTCCTTCTTGGTCAAGACCTCGAGGTTCGAGAGGACGGTCTTGGTCTCGGGATCCCAGTTGACCATGCGATCGCCGCGATAGATCAGGTCGTCCTCGTACATGCGGACAAAGATCGTGCGGACGGCGTGCGAGAGGCCCTCGTCCATGGTGAAGCGCTCGCGCTCCCAGTCACAGGAGGCGCCAAGCTTCTTGAGCTGCTCGATGATGCGACCACCGGACTTCTCCTTCCACTCCCAGACGCGCTCGAGGAACTTCTCGCGGCCAAGGTCATGGCGCGAGATTCCCTCCTTGCGGAGCAGGCGCTCGACGACGACCTGCGTGGCGATGCCAGCGTGATCGGTGCCAGGAAGCCAGAGCGTCTCGTAACCCTGCATCCTCTTCCAACGGATGAGGATGTCTTGCAGGGTCACAAAGAGCGCGTGGCCCATGTGCAAGCTGCCGGTGACGTTTGGCGGCGGGATCACGATCGTGTAGGGCTCCTTATCGGAGTGCTCGTCGGCTTTGAAGAAACCGCCATCGACCCAGAAGTCATACCACTGGGATTCGATCTCGACGGGATCATATTGCTGATCGACTTTCATCTCTTCTCTCCGCTTTCAATCAACGCGCCACCATTTTCTCGTGTACAGGCGACGCGAACATCCAGAACGAGCCAAACCACTTTCACGACAAGGGAAGCCTCACGGCATCCTCGCGAACTCCGAGCAACTCGAGCTCGAATTGCAAGTGGAGTATGTATCCAGTGGGCGTGACTCGCGTCAACCACCACCTCTCCCGAGGTTGACGACGGCATCCTGGCCGGCGACTTCTTCGAGCAGGTGGCATCCGACGCGCGCGAGTCGAGTTCGCTCGACGCGCGTGGAAAACAAAAGAGCCCACCGGCGCCTGACCTCCCCTCCTTCGCGTGTGAAGTCGGGACGAGGACATATGCCAGATGGGCTCAAACAAGAGCGCCCCTCGAGAGTTTCGAGGGGCGCTTTATCGACCTTTCTTTTCGGGCGCCGAGGTCTCCCTCGGCGCCAAAGGTTGCCGCTACTCCTCGCTCAAGAGACGCTCGAGCTCTACGCGTACCTGATCGCGGACGCGGTTATGGAGCTGTTCGTCGAGCATGGCGGTGACCTTCTCCTCGGAGTGTTTGACAAGGCGCGGCAGGATCTTTTGGTTGAAGAGATCCCCCATGATCCCGCGGATCATGTTGGGAAGTTCTTCACGAACTATATCCTTGACCTGGTCTCGAATTATTCCTTCGAGCTCGGCGCGATCGACACCCGCGCCGCCACCGCCACCGCTCGCCTGGCTTTGCGCCGGGGGAGGAGTTTGCTGCTGTGGGACCTGAATGCGCTCCTGCGAGCCGCTGTGCGGCTGCGCTGGGCGCGAGGCGCTCCCCTGCGGCATGGGCGCCGGGATGCGAGGCTGTGAGCCCGACATCGGAGAGGGGCGCTGTTGCTGTTGTTGAGGTTGCTGCTGCGCTTGCGGCTGCGGCCGCGCGCCTCCGCCCGCGAAGGGGTTTGGAGGGGGCAATGGCGCGCCGCTACTTTGCGACTGCTGCGGAGCACTCTGCGCCTGTGGCGGAGCACCTTGCGCCTTGCCGCCACGCGCGAGCGCGGTCTCGATAGCGCCGATGAGTTGATCGGTCTTGAAAGGTTTCCAGACCACCTCGTCCGCGCCAGCCTGGCGCGCGAGGTTCTCATCGAAGTTTTTATGCGTCCCGCCCAACATCACAACAGGGATCTGGTTTGTCGCGGCGTTGCTTTTAAGCGCGCGACAGATCTCGTATCCCGAACCATCCGGCATGAAATAATCGAGCAGGATGATGTCAGGGCGCTGCTGCACCGCATTCATCGTGGATCGTGCGCTGTCAGCCTCGACGAGCTCATAGCTCGAGGCTTTCAAGGCCATACCAACGATCTTACGAATCGTGCGACTGTCATCGGCGACCAGAACCGTGTGAGCCATGAATGCTCCTTCAAGGGCCGTTCGGCAATCTTAGCTTACCAATCTACAAAAAGCTCGGGCGATGCCCGCCATCTTGACTTATCACGCCAGATCTAGAGGGTCAAGAAAGTGCACTGGCTTTGCCTCCTCATGATCCAATCACCTGCTCTCCCGCCTTGATGGTTGAGCGATTTCACGTCATGATGGAGAGGACGCGAGCGTTTCACATCTTAAATGCGATATGACACCGCCATGATGTGGCCCCGTTCGATTCGTCAGTGAAGGCGACATCTTAACCTCCCAAACTCTACCGGCAGCGCCACCAGACGCCATGAACGAGGCGAGCTCACCAAATATCCCGGCGCTCCGCATGAGGCCAGGCGATACTCTGGCGAAGCGATACAAGCTCACGCGCAAGCTGGGTGCGGGCGGTTACAGCACCGTGTTCGCCGCGACGGACGCGCAGGAGCAACGCGACGTCGCCATCAAGCTCCTCAAGACGGATGGCGCGCACAACGACCCGAGCGCGCTCGGCAGGTTGCGCCAGGAAGCCCTCCTGCTTCGCTCGATCCGCCACCCCAACGTCCTGCGCATCTTCGACTTCGAGCGCCACGGGGACATCGCCTTCCTCGTCATGGAGATGCTCGATGGCCACTCGCTCGCGCGCATCATCGCCACCGAAGGCCCCGCCCCCTCCGAGCGCGTGCTGCCCGTCGTCAAGCAGCTCCTGAGCGCGCTCAACGCCGCGCATCAGAACAAGATCCTTCACCGCGATATCAAACCGGAGAACATCCTCCTGTGCGCCCCGGGGCCAAAATCAAAGCAAGGGCTGCGCGAGGTCGCAAAGCTCGTCGACTTCGGCCTCGCCAAGTCCTACGCCCCCTGGGATGACGAGACCGACAAGGAAGAGCTCCAGATCACGCTCGTCAAGACCAAGGCTGGCGGCTTCCTCGGCACGCCGCGCTACACGCCCCCGGAACAAGCCGTCGGCGATCCCGTGGGGCCTTACACCGATCTCTTCTCGCTCGGGCTCGTGATCGCCGAGTGGCTCACCGGCGAGCTTCGCCTCAAAGGGGACACGCACGCCGAGTTGATGCGCAACCTCGTTGGCCCCGACCCGGTCTACGTTGGAGATTGCCCGCAAGCCTGGAGGGGTTGGCTGCGGCGCATGCTCGACAAAAACCCAGAAAATCGCATTCAGAACGCCAGCCAGGCGATGAACCAACTCCAGGAGATGGTCGTCGCCGAGCTCAACGGCAACCGCCGCGCCGGAGAGCTCGCCTTTGACAGCGAGCAAGAATCCTTCGTCGACGCCTTCATCATGCACGAGGATGGCCCCACGAGCTTTCTGGACGAAGATGGACCGCTGGAGCTCGATCTCGACAAGCTCGCGGAAACACAACGCCCCAAGACCGTCAGCTCGCCAGAGATGTGGGCGCTCGCCAACACCGCGCTCCCCGACGAGATGACGCCACCCATGACCAACATGCCCCCCTTGCCAGGTCAGGAGGGACAGGCATTCGGCGGCGCACCTCCCCAGTTCCAGGGCACGGACGCATCCGCCATGGCGCCTCCTCCACAACACGGCCGCCCACCCAACATGCCGCCCATGCGCGCGACACCGCTCCAGGGCGCCACCGGCGAATTCAACTCACCGTTTGGTCCCGGACAATACCCGCTCTCACACACGAGCGAGATCGAGCGTCCACGCATCTACCAAGTCCCCGACGATGACGACGACTTCGACATCGCGCGATCCCCTGTGGCATTGATCGCCATCGGCGCGATCAGTTGCTTTGGCATTTTGGCGCTCTGGTTACTCTACCAGTTGATCTTTTGACCGACTTCGAGGATCACCTCTCTCGAACACTTCATGTCGCACGCCGTTGCCAGGATTCAGCACCACATGAAACTCGTCATTCTCTCTCGCAGCCGCACCCTCTACAGCACGCGTCGACTCGTCGAAGCGAGCCGTCGACGCGGACACGACGTCCGCGTCATCGACCCTTGCCGCTGCTCGATCCATCTCGATCCCTCCGCGCTCGAGGTCACCTTCGAAGGTCGATCACTGCGCCACATCGACTGCGTGATCCCACGCGTCGGCTCGGCCTCGGCCGATATGGTCATCAACCTCCTCAACCAGCTCGAGCGCCTCGGCGTCGTCTGCCTCAACATCGGCGACGGCGTCCAGCGCTCGCGCGATAAGTTTCGCTCGCTCCAGGAACTCGCGCTGGCAGGTCTCCCCGTCCCCCGCACCGCCATGACGCGCCAGATCGACCAACTCGATCACTGCGTCGAGTCCGTCGGTGGCCCCCCCGTCATCATCAAACTACGCGAGGGCACTCAGGGCGTGGGCGTGATCAAGGCGGACTCCTCGACCTCGGTCTCCTCGATCGTTCAGGCGCTCTGGGCGCTCGAGCAACCTGTGCTGGTTCAGGAATTTATCGAGGAGAGCGACGGCGAGGACATCCGCGCCTTCGTCGTCGATGGCAAGGTCATCGGCGCGATGAAACGCAGCGCGAAGGATGGTGACTTCCGCAGCAACCTCCACCTTGGCGGCGTCGCCGAGCGCGCCACGCTCACGCGCGAGATGCGCGATATCGCCATCGAGGCCGCAGCGACCTTTGGCCTCAAGGTCGCTGGAGTCGACCTCCTGATGAGCCATCGAGGCCCCGTGATTACCGAGGTCAACCCCTCACCAGGGCTCGAAGGGATCGAGGGAATCACCGGCTTCGATATCGCGAAATCAGTGATCCGCGCCGCAGAAGCGCTCCACGTCATCAACCAGGACAGAGTCGCGACGAGCTAGAGCGGGACTCACTTCCCTTCAAACCCCTTCTCGCTCGCGCTCTCCTCCCAACGGCTTCCATCGAAGAACTCGATCTCGACGTCCTCACGGGTCACGCCGTCGAGGCAGTTGAGGTTGATGTCGACCATGCCAGGGTGCGAACGCGGCGAGTAAAAGGGGTGCACGCCGCAAACCTCGCAGAACTTGTGCACGGCCTGCATCGTGTTGAAGCGATACTCGCGAATGTGCGACGAACCAGTGATCAGCTCGAAGTCTTCCGGCGCGACAATCAGATGCAAGAACCCCTTGCGCCTGCAAATCGAGCAGTTGCAATCGAGCACCTTCTCGACCTCCAGGTCGGCGCTCACCTCGAACCGGATCGCGCCGCAGTGACACTGTCCGCTGTACGTCTTCTTCACAGATGCTCCTCACATCATGTCCACTGATTCGACAACCCTGCCCACAGAAGCGCTCGCCATGATCGCTGGCGCCGGGCTCTGCCCGGCGCATATCACGCCGCTGCAGGGAGGATACTCCGCCACGCTCTGGCGCGTCGATGACATCGCGCGTGCCCCGACAGCGGTGCTCAAACGCGCCGCCTCGAGCAGCGCTCGTATCACGGCAGAACGCGCCGCGCTGGACTATATCACGAGACATGCCCCCCGCGAACTTCGCGAGCACGCTCCGCGCGTACTCGCGGCCGATCACTCGCATGAGGTCCGCGCGCTGCTGCTCTCCTGGGTCGGTGATGTGACAGCGCCAGCGACCTGCACGTTGGAAGATGCGCTGGAAGCCGGGACAGCTTCGCCCGAAGCGCTCGAGCGCTTCGGTGAGACGCTCGCCAGGTTGCACGATCTCGAAGTCCCCAGCGGCTCTTCACTCAAGCTCTCGGATGATCCTCTCACGCTCCCCGAACGTTTGCGCGCGATGCAGCGGCGCGCCCTGGAGCAGCTCCACAAGCGACGCGCGCGCGAAGAGATCGAGGGCATCGAACGGATCCTCGCCGCAGCGAATAACGCCAATGATACGCTCGCTGCGCGCCTCGAAGGCACGAATCATGTCGAAGCTTATCCGGGGAGGTTGATTCACAGGGATCTTCGCGCGGCGAACATCATGCTCGCAGAACGCGGCGCGAGGTTTGCCGGGATCATCGACTTCGAACGCGCCGCCGCGAGCGATCCCGCCTGGGACTTCGTCAAACTCGATGCGTGGGTCCTGTCGCGCTGGCCAGGAGGCCAGCGCGCCGATCCTTTCAGGCTATCGACGCGTTCGCGCGCTGCCAGACCAGGATAAGATCGACACCTTCGCCTTGCACGAGGCGCTCACCACGCTCGGGTTCTTCGCAGGGCGCCACGAGGGGTACACACGCGAAGCGCTCGAGCGAATCGAGGCATCCTAGCGCTCCGCTCTCCACGCCTTGATCATCTCATCCGAGACATCTCGCCTGTAACACAGCGGGGAGGCGCCTCCCGGTCGGCTATAAGCGCTCCTTTTTCCGCAACGGCTACCATTTCTGGCGCGGTTATACGGACACGGGCACGAGCCGCTGTAAGCAGCGATCGACTCGGCGATCAAGATCTTGGCGACCTCATCATCGCTCGGGCTGGCCTTCTCTTGCGCCGTCGCCGCGGATACGCCGCCGAACAAGAAAACCAAAGACAGTAATACCTCGCGCATGATCACACCTCCTCACAAACAATAGACAAGAAAAAGCAGGCCAGGGCAACCTGCCCTGGCCTGCTCGATGTCGAGCATCGGCGGCTCGAAGCAATGTAGAGGTACTCAGCGCGCTGCCTGGCAGCGCGCTGCGAAATCAATCCGCGGCGTTGATCTCGTAGCGATAACCCTGCTCGGTCAAAAAGAGCTGGCGCTTGTTGGCGTAGTCCTGCTCGGTGGAGTCACGCGTGACGACCGAGTAGAAGTACGCCTCGTTGGCCTCCTTCTTGGGGCGCAGGATACGACCGAGCCGTTGCGCCTCTTCCTGACGAGAACCAAAGGTCCCAGAGACCTGAATGGCGACGTTGGCGTCGGGGAGATCGACGGCGAAGTTGGCGACCTTGGAGACCACCAACACGGGGACCTCCTTCTTGCGAAACTTCTCGTAGAGCTCCTCGCGTTTGCTCTGCGGGGTGCGCCCGGTGATGATCGGCGCCTCGGCCAGCTCGCTCAACTCGTCGAGCTGATCCAGGTATTGACCGATGATGAGCACCTGATCGTTGACGTGCTCCTCGAGCAGATCCTTGACCACGCCGAGCTTGGCGGGGTTGGTCGCCGCGAGCTTGTGCTTCACGCGAGGCTCGGCCACCGCATACTCGAGACGCAGGTTATCATCCTTGAAGGGGACGCGGATCTCGGTACACGACGCCGAGGCGATAAACCCCTGCTTCTCGAGCACACGCCACGGCACGTCGTATTTCTTTGGGCCGATGAGGCTAAAGACCTCTTCCTCGCGGCCATCCTCGCGCACGAGCGTCGCGGTCAACCCCAGGCGACGGCGACTTTGCAGGTTCGCCACCGCGCGGAACACGGGCGCGGGCAACAAGTGGACCTCATCGTAAACGATCAGGCCCCAGTTGCGTTCGTTGAACAGATCGAAGTGCACGAAGTCCGAGTTCTTGTTCTTTCGGTAGGTCAGGATCTGGTAGGTCGTGATCGTGACCTCCTTGATCTCCTTCCTGATCCCCGAATACTCGCCGATCTGATCCTCGGTGATCGTCGTCTTGTCGAGGATCTCGTCGCGCCACTGGCGCAGCGCGGTCACGTTGGTCGTCAAGATGAGCGTGTGCGCGCCGACGGCATCCATCGAGCCGAGCGCGACGATCGTCTTGCCCGCGCCGCAGGGGAGAACGACCACGCCGCTGCCGCCTTTCACCGTACCTCCAGCCCAGAAGGCGCCGACCGCCTCGCGTTGATACTCGCGGAGGCCAAAGTCGTTGCCCTCGACGGTCTCATCGCGGAGCGAGACCTCGAGCGGATCTCCTGTGGTGTAACCTGCGAGATCCTCGACCGGGAAGCCGATCTGGATCAACGCGTGCTTGATCGAACCTCGATCGTGGCGGTTGACCTCGACTCGCCCGTTGTAGGGATCGCCGATGAGGTATTTTTGCACCTTGCGTTGGCGCGTGATCTCGAGCAGGAGCGGGGCATCTTCGGTCTCCAAAAAGAGCGACCCATCATCCTCGGAGATGAGCTTGAGGCGACCGTAACGCGACATGAAGTCGTCGATATCGATCAACAAGTTCGAGGGGACGGGGTACTTGGAGAAACCGGCGAGCTGCTCCTTGACCTCATCTGGAGAGAGGCCCAAGGCGGCCGCGTTCCAGAGGGAGAGCGGTGTGATACGGTAGGTGTGGACGTGTTCTGGGGATTTGACGAGTTCGGCATAAAGCGAGAGCGAATCTCGAGCGCTCTCGAAGTTGTCATTGGCCGTCTCGAGAAGGACTGTGCGATCTGACTGGACGATCAAGGGATTGGTCGGATCAAACGACATGTACGCGGACCTCTCGTTGCTGCTCACGGCGCTCAGGATGCGATCGCACTGATCGATTTCACGCGCGTGTGGGAACTTGCTTCGGGTTACTTTGAAACCGAATGCATCAGGCCACCATATCGGGAGCGAGGTGGGCAGAAAAGCAAAGTTTTCGTGTCCTGATTCGAGCGCGCTCGCTCACCGTACTCCCTCGCATGGCAGGGGTGGCAACATAGACACATTGCTTTTGGTGTCCAGAATTGAACCGTCCTGTTGTCGAACCATCGAACACCAGCGAGGCAGCTATTTATGATCAATCCGCTGCGAAATATCGAGATCAACCACTACATCCTCCACTCTCCCCGGGTCAAAGAGGCGCTGGAGGGGTTCTCCATCGCGCAGATCTCGGACATCCACCTCGGGCGTTGGGTCAAGCCCTTCCACCTCGACCAGATCGTGAACCTGGTCAATGGCTGGGGGCCTGATGTCGTCGCCTTGACTGGCGATTACGTAGGATATGACAAGCGCGACATCGATCGCTGCGTCGAATCACTGGCGGGGCTCGCGCCTCCGTCCTACGCGGTGCTCGGAAACCACGATCACTGGACCGATGGAGACCGCGCCAAGGCCGCCTTCAAGCAAACCGACATCCAGCTGCTCACCAACGAAATGGTGCTCCATGGCGAGGATGACAGCGGGATCGAGCTGCTCGAGATCATCGGTGTGGACGACATGGTGACAAAAAACCATGACGTCGAACGCGCGTTCGCGGACAGCGAGCTCGACCGCTTCGCGCTCGTGCTCAACCACGTCCCCAAGCTCGCAGAAGATTGCGCCAGGGCTGGCGGTGATCTCATCCTGAGCGGCCACACGCACAACTTCCAGTTCAACATCCCCAGGTTCACCAACCGCCTCGCAGAGACCATGGGCGTCGACTACTTCGCCGGTCCCTATCGCATCGATGACGCGTTCCTCTACATCAACCGAGGGCTGGGCTCGGCGAGCTGGCCGTGGCGTATTCGCGCGCTGCCTGAGCTGACACGCATCGACTTGAAATATGGGGATGTGCCCAGGCTAGAGCTGATCGACACGCAAAACTTTGGCGTCGATCACACCTGGGCGCGCGCCATCGAAGGGCGCATCGGGCAACGCCTGGCCGAAAGGACGAGGCGCAAATAGCCAGAAACCAGAAGCCGTGAGAATCACTCTTCTTCGCCGTCAGCATCAGCGTCGGCTACGAGCGCGACGGTAAAGGGAGCCGCGGCGCGAGGATCGAGCAGCTTGTCGAGCACCGCGCGAGATTCCACGACCCAGGTCGCGCCATCCTCTGTCAGGACGGCATCTTCGGGGATGAACAGGAGCAAGGGGATCACGATCTCGTGATCCGCCATAAGCTCTGTGCCCTGCGCGACCTCGGCGCTCTCGGTGTAATCGACCCACTTGCCTTCGCGTTGGACCGACCCTCGCATCGAGAGCGCGACGTAATCGATGGTGCGATCCTTCTCCGGGCTGCGCACGCTCACGCGCGCCTCGAGCATCTCGCCAGGCGTGA